ATCCAACAATGTTCAGTCAGGTCAACTGGACAGTTTCTTTATTTGTTGAGACGTTTCGCCCTCCATCTGAAGGGCTTCATCAGTCTAAGGCACCAACATAACAGTTTTTTTCCACTTTGGAGCAGGCTGTTGGAGAATCAGTTTTGTTTGGCGTTTCCTCAGACTGATGAAGCCCTTCGGATGGAGGGCGAAACGTCTCAACAAATAAAGAAACTGTCCAGTTGACCTGACTGAACATTGTTGGATATTCAATTCATGTTTTTCTAAAGCCTCACTTCACAGTCAATTCATGTTGAATAGTGTACACTAACTTAGTGATGGTCCACTTCCTGTATATTCTGTGTTTAGCTGAGACTTTGTTGTCCTTCTGTGTGTCTTACAGGAGGCTGCATACCATCCAGATGTCAGCAGGGACGTCCAGATGCGAGCTCTACGTTACGGCAATGAATGTGCCTCTGGGTATCTGGGGCTACTAGAACACGTGTTGGTGGTAAGATATTTCATTTCTACAGGGTCCATTCTGGATCTTTAGGGGAACCTATGCCAGCATCTGTTTAGTAGCTGGAGCCTCCTACACATGTCAGAGTGGCACATTTATTCATTGATACAAACAAAATTATTTTTAAACAGTTTTTTACTGATTATATTTGAGAATATGGGCTGATATATTTCACTTGTTTCTGAATTTTCCTCATAATTGTAAATCAAGGAGTAAAACCTTTTTTTATTAGGAGTATTAGGTATCTGTAGAACTTGTCAAATGGATTATGGGTAGCTACATTATAATTTCAATCAGTGTTTTTTTTTAATCCAGTTGTTGCTTCCTTTATTTTCTGCCAGGACAGTTTGTGTCCATCTTTGTCTTCATTTCATCTTTGCTGTTTTTGGTTGAACTGCTTGATGCACCGCCACGACTCAGATGTGTTGAAAATATCTTCACACATATACTCTCTGAATTCATATTTCTTCTCTTTTCCCCAATGGTTTTCCAATTTTAATTTAAACTTGTGGCTTACTGGCGCTGGTGCTAGCCGGTGAGTACACTGCCTGACTGACGTGCACAACTGTAGTGCTGCATTGTTCGAATAGTACTCTGAGTACTTCATGCCACACCAACTCTGCATAATGCATCAGTTGTCTGAGCAGAAGGAGGTTAAATTTAGCCTGGGTGTGTTTTTTACCATTGTTTTGTGATTCTAGATGGAATTAGAGCTGGAAAATAAAACATGTAACCTGTTTGTTAGTATTGCCACTAACGTGCATGATAATGCTCACTTATTTGACCTTTTCTTATATAAAAAAAAGGAACTTTGAACTTTACCTATAATAGAACCAATAGATG